AAAAACTACCAGTATTGAGTTGGTGAGCATGTGGGTCCATGTGAGAGGACACTTCCAGGTTCCATCAGCTCGATTTAGGACTGTCTACTGTGCAATAGCCAGCCTTTCGTACGCTAATGAACATGATTTGCTTATCGGAACAGCTGCCCTCCTTCCCATTCCAAAAGTTGATCCAACCGTAATGTATACTCTCCGGGGAAATGTATCTGATTATATATCTGATCATATCTGTATGTGTTCTGACAAAATGTAGCGCACTTGTTCTAGTTCCTGGGTCTAGTGAAGAAAACATCAGCACGCTATGAAACCAAGTAGTAGTCATTCTCTTCCTGAATAATGCGCGATGCTTCAAGTGGTAAGAAGAAGAATCCTTAAATGCAATGTGAACAGCAACATTGCATAATCAATCGTTGCATAGTTTCTAAGTCGAAGCAGCCTAGGATAGATGTTTCATGACAAATTAATTCGAGAATGCATGTACAGTATGATGTATATTTACAACAGCCGGTTGCGATATTCAAGGGACCGAAAAGCTCTGGAACTAGGCCGAGCTGCACTCTGTTTGGTGCCGAGCGACGAATTTGCCTCAGGCTCCTCTGCTGGGCGCCTTTGGTATATTTTCATACAAATCTCTTATGGGTACACAAGCCCCAAGGAGCACGCATGCAGACCACGAACGCCCAAAGGTTTCCCAACACAAAAGAACAGGTTGATCTTGCGTAGAATTGCCGAAATGGTCGGAATTCGATAACCTGAAAATACGTGTAGGTAACTGTACGCATACATACAATACAAAGAAATATGCATATAATATGTGTACTGAGCAAATATGTAAATATCTGTATATATAGACAACTCGTACTGTACATAGAAAAATATGTATAGTAATTGTGTGCAAATGTCGTGCGCTTTTGCATATTGAAGGCAAGCCTGTTGAAGCATTTCTACATTGCAAGACTTCGGGGCCCCGGGCATTGCTTGCCAAGTCAAGTATAATGTTCCTCGTGAAACCGTATCATACAGAAGTGTGATTTAACAAGTTCGACACAAGTGGAGCAACGCTACAACAGTCGCATACTCATGGGCAATATGCGAAAAAATGTATTCTTGCCAGGCTCGCGGTGCACAAAGTGTGTCGTGTGCAAGACGCCGTCTCTCCCGCTGCCCGGATCAATTGAATCAGACTGATCAGAAACCTACTATATAGTAACAAAAAGCTACTAGGCGGAGGCCATCGCTACTGGTAACAAGAAGCTAGGTGGAGGAGGCCATTGCTACTAGGTTGGAGGCCATCGCTACTAGGAACAAGAAGCTACTAGTCCACCTAGGAGCTTCTTCTTGTTAGTAGCGATGGCCTCCAACTCAATAGCGATGGGCTCCTCCTAGTAGCTTCTTGTTACTAGTGGAGATGGCCTCCAACCCTAATAGCAATACTAGGTGGAGGCCATCGCTATTAGGTTGGAGACCATCCCTACTAGTACAAGAAGCTACTAGGTGGAGGCCATCGCGTTGGAGGCCATCCCTACTAGTAACAAGAAGCTACTAGGTGGAGGCCATCGCTATCAGATGCTATCAGGATGGAGGCCATCCCTACTAGTAACAAGAAGCTACTAGGTGGAGGCCATCGCTATCAGGATGGAGGCCATCCCTACGTAACAAGAAGCTACTAGGTGGAGGCGTCGCTATTATGTTGGAGGCCATCCCTACTAGTAACAAGAAGCTGCTAGGCGGAGGCCATCGCTATTAGGTTGGAGGCCATCCCTACTAGTAACAAGAAGCTACTAGGTGAAGGCCATCGCTATTAGATTGGAGGCCATCCCTACTAGTAACAAGAAGCTACTAGGTGGAGGCCA